CGAGCGACTGAGAGTGGGGTGGGGGTTGGGGTGGGGAAGGGTGGGGTAGGGTGGGATGTTAACGTTCGGTTCAAATTACACATTCATACAGAAGAAACCCTTCTACGTGGCTACACAATACGAGTACGCGTGCTTGGTTGCGCATTTTAGCTAGCTTGCGTTTGCTTGTTTAAAACCCGTCTGGATTTATTCATATCTTTTGTTCGGATGGCACCAACCAATGGTTAGACGGTAGACTGGTCGATTTCTTCCATCCCTATTCATACACACGATAGAGTTACAGTACCAATATATTATATTAATATGTTATGATCATTTCCCTACAGGTCAAAGACCTTCATTTTACTGATCCTGTCCATGAATCATGTTTCATCAACGGTCTGAATGGCCCGGAGGACTCTTTTTTCAAATAGGTTCATCTGTGGAAACGTGACAAAGCATAAATTTTTTTCCAAAATGTGGTCAAAATTCAAAAAACGAACGTGCCGATGGGGACCCCTTTTTGCCAAGAAAATGCTGTAAGGGTTGCACAACGCAAAAAAAAACGACATTTTTTTGAATCCTTTTTTCTTTCTCACAAATCAGCTGTCGCTGCAGCGAAACAGAGAAAAAGACAAAAATCGTGGGGCGGTAATAATTCCGCCGGGAAATCAGTGTACCCAAGCTTCTCCAATGCATCCCCTTCATGAGTTTTGGAAACAAAGTTGTAGCACCTTCCTTTGCAAATCCTGAATTATTTATCGATCATTTTTACCTTTTGCATGGTTGGACAAGTATGGACACTTTCAAGTCTTGATTGACACCACTTTTTGGGTACAAGGCACAGCGAACCTCCCCATCATGATTTGCTGGGCTAGCAACTGCATGTTGGTTTCTAGAGACAAAAGCACTTTGCATGACTTGGTTTTCTGGTTGCCTCCGACAGAAGTTGTCACATTTGTTGACTCTGGGTCATGGTCGCACACAGTCTACCAGCATTTTGCTTCGTCACAGGTATGGAATACACTATGTATGAGTGCAGACAGGACACCACAAAAACAAACCAGGTACATGGAAGCCAAGATAAATCATATCCCGACATGTTCGTTTTGGTTTGTTGCAGTTTACACAACATAATTGTGTGTTGTGCAATACTGTCCACATCCAGGTGAGCGTCGCCTATGTGTCCACTGCAGAAGTGTGGGTGGACAGTGCAGTTGATTGGACGCTTGATGGCCTGGCAAAGGCAAGACGCGACGGGCTTCGTCACCTTGAGACAGTGACTTGCCGCCACCCTGGCTCATCTCGTACCCTTTGAGGCTTGTGCGCGCTATCATTATTGGATCACAGCCTGCTCAGTCATAAAGTTCACTGCGAACAATGCTCGCTTTGCCTTTACCTTAGGGAAAGCCTTATCAAGTCTCAGACTCTAAGAATACCAGCTTGGAAGTTTGCACTCAAAATGTAAGGTGCGGCTACATGTACTACATGGGGTTGCTATTGGAGTAGTGTGCCGCCCAGGTTTTAGTTGTGCGCCTTGGAAGTGAGGAGAATGCCACGAAGGCACTGTCCATTATTTTCTGACCCCTACGAGAAACATCCAGCAGCAACACAATATGCAGCTTGCGGACGGCGCATTCATTAGCTAGACTCCAAATGCGCTGAAGTTTATTTCTTGAGAAGTGAAGAGCTCCCAGGCAGCCAACACTTCAGCGCTGGGCTCACTAGAAAAAAGCGATCTTCTGGAGTATCACAGTGCCTTTGACGAGGGGTCCTGTGTTTGGATCCTGGATTCATGATTGCATTTTCTGTTTTTGGAAGCAATTTCACCCTTTGATGTTCATTCTTTTTGGGGAGGTAGGCCGCGAGTAGGCTGACAAGTAGCTAGTCGTAAGCGTTAAGTAGTGGCTCAAGTAAGCCACTAGCTACCATGCGGGAAAGGTTCCTTGAAGAAGCACTCAGGCTCGTATTATCCATTTGGTTCCTAAATGATGCATTGGTCATCGCATCAACTCCGAATAGTAAATGTAAATCAGATCACTATGTTGCGATGGTTCACATTAGCACCCAACCACAAGCAGTGTCAGCTGACAGAACACCTTTGGCGCCCTTCCACTCAGTGGTGTAGGTAGCTTTAAAGATTTGGTGAGCCTTCATGGGCTGTTAGCTTGTGATAGCTTCTTGATCGGCGGCGTCGTGCAATTCCAACTTTGGTGGACGGTGAGGCAAGGTGACCCTTCCAACGCAATTTCACAATCTCCAAACTGCCAATGTAGCACGTCGGTCGCACGAAACAACTTATTTCAGATTCAATAGTTCCCCAGCCCATTTTTGGCATACGTCCAACCTAGAGATTTGGAAAGGAGATTTTGCTGTTCCTTGTGAAGTGAGAGTCTGCTGCGGCTGTGTGTCTCCATTTTTGCAATTGTTTCTGCATAAAGGCCAGGAGAGGTTGCCCGAAATAGTTTCAACCAAATATGAAATATGTTTTTGGAGTTTTCGACATGAAGTAACGCAGTTTTCATATTTTTGTTCAGGTTCGTTGCCACGGTGACGTTTGATTCACTGCAGGTGTTTGGGACCTGTTGCGGTCCAAGAGGCCATCGGGAGAGGCTCGTCGATTGAAGCGCCTCACGCCACTGCTGACTTTAGTGCGTTTGCACCTCAGGACACTCTGACGTTGGTGCTTTCATATGCAGAGAAAAACCATAATAAGTACGCTTTGGCCATTGGGTAAAGCTGCAGCTTCATCTCAGAAGGAGTTGTTCACACTTTGTACTCTGCTCACCTGCCCCAAAGCTGTTTTCCTTAGCCTGCTTTTCACACTTCCTTCCTTTTATGCCTTTGAGGTGGGCAGACCTTGCTACATGAACCTGGCTTCTTGGTGCTGCGCCCGATGCTGGAGCAGGTAATCTGTCGCGTGGCAGATAAAGTGAGCCGTTTGCTTATCCAATCCTGCCGTGCATAATCGCCAGTCCTTCCAAGAGACAATTGAAAGATTTATAGTCTTGGAGTTCGTGCTGGGTCCTGTGGTAGACCCAGCACACACACACAAGCAATGTGTATTTTTCTAAGGTTGCACTTACAATGATGCTGTGGTTCACAATGAGATTGTCAGACAGGGAGCGCAGGTGGGTTCTTAATGTTTGTTTTCTCCTGCTTTTGTGTCTTTTGCATTGCTTCAAGTCAACAAGACAGTTTATCTTATTTTGGCTGGAGTCTCAAGCTGTGTTTGCCTTGGACAGTGAAGCATAGGCAGTGAAGTCTTCTGCAGTTGACATGGAGATCTTGCGAAGCTGCCGTGCTCTAGATTGAGCAAGAACCGTTTGCACAACTTTTCCAGTTCGTCCCCAAAGGGAGGACGAGCGTTGTTTCTTTGGGTGCTGGAGATGTGCTTCTCTTCGATTCAGGCACGTTGGCACTGATGGAAGATTGCGGCCCTGTGACCTGGAGTCAGCGTTGGAAGGACTGGGAAATGCAAATGCTCCAGATTTCTCATTCAATTATTCAATGCTGAAGCTTGATTCACTGCCTTTCTGATCCAGCTTAGGAGTTAGCCATGAGATGGATAGAGGTGCACCTGGAGCAAATCCTTGCGAATGATGCACTTCTTCTCCTGCTGATGGAAGCTACTTGCATGCTTAGATTGAGTCATTCGCTTGACTGTGATTGTTGCTGAGGGCTGCATTGTCAACGGTGAACTCCTCAAAGGTTCAAAGCTCCATTGATATACTCCCTTGGATGGTCAAGGTGTTGATCAGTTTGACTTGAATTGCTGAGGCTTCTCAGTTGGAGGCCTTTCAGGATTTATGTCGACAGCTGCAGGCTGCAGGTGCGACATTCCCACTGCGGCATCATCTACCGAAGACTTGCTTTTGTAGCAATGACCACGCGCATGAACCAGAAGCGAAGCTTCCTTGGAGTGCTTCCTGTCCAACATGTTCAGCTCTACGAAACCTTTGCCTTGCAACTGAGAATTGGTGCTGCATCAAAATGCACTGCTTGAAGCGTCATACATAAACAGCTACTATATACATGTGTAGTGATTGTTTCAGCTGCTGAGAAGCCTAACATGTAGCTAAGCAGCAAACTGGCTAACCAACCCTAGGCCCACTCAATAGTATGGATGTCGGGTGCAAGCTTTGCACCTTACTTGTGGTAGAGGTAGTGCCAGGCAATTTCTCTTTGCAGGTGCGGGTTGCACCCTCACTGCATTCAGCTTTATCCATGGGGCTCGCCGGTGGGGCTTCGCTCTTTTGGCGGCCACCTGGGCTTCATTCCTGTCTGAAAGTGTTGGTTTCTTGACTTCGTAACACAAACGATTCCTTCATGGGCAAGACTCGGTAGCCTACTCAGTAGCCTTCGTATTATCCAGTTGGTTTGATTGACACGTGTCAATATTGTCCATGATCTTTCTTGTTTAATATTTACATTTTTGGTCCTTTCTTTGTCGAATACAGATCACTTGAAAGACTTGGCAAGAAAGAATGCAATGCAGGCAGCCTCCGTTGCGTTGCCACCTTTGAAGCTGCAAAAGATGCGCTTCCTTCTTCAAGCGGACTCGGTAGCCGCAGTAGCTGATGCAAAAGAAGGTCCAAAAAAGCCTTTGATGCGGTGTTGCGTCCCCGGCGGGGCACGTCTATTTCTGCAGCAACTGCTTGTTGATCAGAGATAGCGCAGCTTTAACCCTACAACAGAAAGTGACGTGACACGGGTGACACGCAGGTCGTTTTGCGCGTACTTTGCATTGCAGTCTAGCTGCTGGCTAGCAAGAAATGTTGAGGGCTTTGAGTAATGGCGCCTTTTTGGGCTTTCACGACCATGGTAATGTTTTTCACTGATCACTCCAGAATGCAAGAGGTATTATTCTGAAGACTTGGCGAAAGGGCTTAATGAGGACATTTCTAAGAATGATGTCTCATCGCAGAATTCATCCTTGGGTTTGGTGGATGTGATGTGTGAATGAACACTGCCTTTTGACCTCTCTGACAGGCTCTTACGTTGGTTTCCTTCACTGGTCTCAAAGTTCAAGCCACCGTCCTTTGCCATTTTGACATTTCAAATGTTTTGATTCTTTCCTTTGGCAAGCCAAGTACGTGGGTACTTTATACAATATATATTATCCATATATTATCCATACACAGAGGTCACATAATATGTAGTTACAGTCGTTGGCTCACCTGAGAATGTGGTTGACGGGGTATTTCGGCTTGTGCACATCAGCTTGAAGATAGGACATGGTGAAGCACGGACACAAAGTGCTGAACACCATTGAACAATTCCTTGACTCCAAAGCTATTGGTTTCGATAAGAGCTTCTCAATGTCAAGAGCAGGCAAATCTTGACACCCAGTAACCTCTTGCCTCCCAAAGGAAAAAAACTAAGAAGCGCGCACTAATTGCACAAACAGCCGCAATCTACAGCAGCTTTAGCAGCCTGAGCAGTCTACTTGGACTCTTCAATTGAATTATCACTTCGGGCCAGCAGCGCCAGCAACAGGCTTGGAACCTGGACCGGAGAGCCCCACCACAACTTTCAGGGATTGGGGTGCAGGGCAGTGATGAATTTATTTGTAAGCTTCTCTCTACATTTTCAATGAACGAACTCAGTGGGTGCTCGGGGTTTTGCCTAGCATCGTCTTCCCGAAAGGGATCGGGCATTTTTCAACCAACTTTTGCCAAGACAACCTCATGGAACTTCGGTGGCCTCGGGCAAGGAACATCACAGTCCCTTGCTACTCCATGCAAGAAAGCTGTTCTAAACATGCATTGTTTGACCAATCCACATCCTCGCCAGGCAGCGTATGGGGTGTGTGGCGAACTGAGTTCAGTTCCAAGACACGTACTGAGTTCAGTACCAAAAGATGAATGGCATGTTCTGTGAGAAGAAGGACGTGATGATTTGAATTTGCACAGAAGCCAGAAGGATCTTCAACTTCCCCTTAAACCTTGGCCTGTCACAGCTTGGCAACCTGATGAGTTCCGCCTTCCTTTTCTTGCAAACGACCACCGTCTTTCCAAGCCCAAGGCGACCTCTAGGCCTTGAGCAATGTTCGCGTGGAACTAAGTTTGTTGGGCTTGGATATTTGTCACCGTTGTTACATGGACTTTAAAGGTCTTTTTAGGCTTTTACTGTAGGAGAAAAGTTCATGGTTCGTGTCGCGCCCTCTGAAGGTCTACCTGAGCAAGAAGATCGCCATACCGCACCAGCTGGCATTGCAGGCCCAGAACTTTGCCACATTTGGACACAAAATGTCCCAGACAAACCAGAGATTCCCAAGTGACAACACGATCTTCAGATATTGAGGTGGTCTCTTGGAACTCTGCACAGGGATGGATCGCTTGTGGTGGTTGAAGACTTAGCTACGGGACACCTTTTCAGGATGACTTTTAGTTAGTTTCGTTTCTACGTTTTGGGTGTCACAAAACCGACACATGTGCCGCTTTCGGCTCTTCAGTGCCTCCAGTTTCTGAGGTGAAAGTGGCCTGCTCAAGGCTTGGAAGCAGTGGTGCCACTGAAACACTCTTATTTTCATCAAACGCATTGTGGATGTACTTCAAAACTCCACATATTTGAGCAACATGTACAAACTCATTCAAGCATGCAAACCGATGCGTTGTACTTCCTTTTTCCCATGAGTTTGTGCTATTTGTTGAAGAGGTTCGGATGAACATGCCACGTGTACGTACCGTTGATGCTGGCAGGTTCTGAAGCTGGAGTCCTCCGAGGGTGGCAAAGCGGCCGCCGGACAGAGCCACTTGGGCCATGGGTCTTTATGTTGCTTTGTCGACCTCCAGCTCCCCTGTTTGGGGCGTTGTAGCTCGCTGTCTTGGATGCATCTCGAGGCTTAATCATTTTCATCACTGTTCGTTTGAGGAGAACAGTCTGCTATTTTCTGGTGTGTACCTACCAACCTTCCGAGGCAATCTCTCCATGAACCAGACCTTAGAAGGGCATCAAGGTGCAAATGTCATTTTTTCAGTCTTTAGCCGATGCAGCCTAGTCATATCAGTGAGTCGTAAGATTGCACTGAGTTCTTTTCAAGTATGCAACGCCAAGACTTGCAATTGTAGGTTGGCAAGTTCCTAGTTCAGACATGTTCTGACATTTTTTTTGGCATAAGTAGGACAAATTACCACTGTCGCCAGTGCATGCTTTGATCGGCAGGCACCATCATGGTCATTACCTGGAACGAAAATTTCCGGAAACTGACCACCAGTGATCAGCCAGCTCCTCAATGTGTTGAGCTTTTCAAGCACTTGGTCATGTATGTTTGGCCTAGGCCTAGGATAATCTCGATACTTAGCTCTTCCATCTTTTTGGACAGTCCACTAAAAAGTCGCCCAATGTAATGTTTTGCTACGTGCCGAAACGAGACTGAGCACGTGCTAAATTCGGAGGAATGGCCTGATCATCGTTTGGATGCTGCACAGAGGCATATGGTTTGAGGACGACAGCGGAGCCAACTTTAGATTAGAAATGGATTCTTCTCAGCTTCCGTAGGTCTTTTGTGTTCTCCAACACGAACGGGCAGATGAGATTGATATCCTTGTTTCCTGATCATTTGACGTGAACAACAGAGGCATTGATGCAGAAGGAAAGCAGTGACAGCTTTTCCTTTGCTGAATGTATATACAGTGCCCATTTTTGCAGGAGATGATCAATAACCGCAACAGAAGTGTTGTCAGAGACATGAAGTGGAGTCCGGAACTCAACCACCAGCTATTGACATTTTGTTTTTTGTTCTCTTAGACGGTTTGATTTAGCTCTGATGAATTGCAAAGCTTTGAGAAAAGAGCACCAGAATCTTCAGACTGGTTTGGCACAGGGCCTTGCAATTTTGAAAAGAGGAAGCCGTGCCTCATGCCAAGGTGCTGACTGCCAGAAGTTCTTTGGCAGCGGTTGGCAACATTCAAGCGTTGTTCACACATGGCACTATTGAAGTTGTCAATCCTACAATGTAGTGACGAAACTTGAAGAGCATGGTCGGCTGTGCGATACTTATTCATCAAGCTTGGCCGCAGAGTCCACAGTGCTTGCTTCATGGCTCTATCCAAAATTGTCAAGCTTGCCGCGGAAGTGATTTGGGCAAAGATGTTATTGCTGTTGTACTAAAGCCATGGAACACAAATAGACACCACTTACTATTGGACGGATATGTTTGTTAGCCAAATAGCTTGCGGAAATAAAAGGACATGGACAATCCAGAAACCAACACATAAGGGTTTGCAAGATCTTGCAAGGTTCTCTCTGAAGCGTTTTCATGTTTACACCTACTGAAATGGTTCAGAAGCACCTTCTTTGCAAGTTGTTGCTCCTTTGTCCTCAGGATTTGCATCATCTATGAGGATGGTGCGGTCATCGTAGGCACAGTAGACGGACAGAGGTGCCACCTGGTGACGGTCGTGCACGTGTGATTCCTGTTTCTAGGATTGGAGGAGTTACTTCCTTTGTGGTCTTGTGTTTGCGATTTTCGGAGTGTAAGTTGAGGATTATTTAGCAGGCTTTTGACATGGACGCATCATTGGCAACCAAAGCAATCGATTGCATGTTGAGCACATTTCTCTTATTGCTTCGATGAAACTGGTCAGCACAACGGCAGGTTATGGGGGAAAGAGGTCCGCTCCCAAGCGGGCTGTACTGCACAGCGCCCTTTCTACCAGAGTTGTGCAAGGGGCGGGTAGCAATCCTATTGTTGCTCCAGCCTTTTCACCAAATGTACCTGCCGCTCAAGCAGACTTTGCTCTTCCTGCAAGAGCAGCACTTGCCAAGATTAACACTTGGTTGCCTTTTGAAGGAGATCCGCGTCACCTCGCACAACTTTTTGGTAATTGTGAAACAGGCTTAGTACAACTCCGCTTTGAGCATTTGTATGCTTCAAACGCTAATAATAAGGATTTATATAAAGACAACAAACATACATATGCATACATATATATATATATATACTGTATATACTTGTATGCATACACATCCAAAAGAGTGCGCAGTGCGCAGATTGAGGACACGTATGTTTGTCTGTATTCTGCCATAGCTGTGAACCCCAAGAGCCTAGATTTGTCACTGAGGTCAAGACACAGCTGGCATTTGTGGAGTGGTCACCAGACGGGAAGAACATTTTGTTCTGCACCTTGAATGGGGAGGCCGGGGAGTTTTTCATGAAGCTGAAAAGAGAAAACGCCCAGGAGTTCAGGATCTCCCTTCAAGCTAGTTGTCCAGCAGGCAGACCTTGAAAAACGCTAATTTCTCCTGCCAGGAGACGGGGTTTCCACCTAGTCAGAGGGCCCAAACTGCATTCTTCCTTGAAGGTGCATGTCTATGACAATGAAGGCATCTACTCGCACAAGGTTCCTATCTACTGCCCCTTGGCCGAAAGAATATGCTGCTGATTAGCGTCATGTCAAGTTCTTTTGTGGACAATTTGTTGCCTCTTGACACTGTTTGGAGCTGGAAGTCGTTTGCCTCAGACTTTGCCACAGTTCTGGAAGCTGGAAGATGACACAGATGACGAATCAGATGTTTCAAACGATTTGCTTTTATTTCGTCATCAAACAAGTGAAAGTTGAATTCAGCCAGGCTTAGACAGTGGCACGGAGGGTACCGTGGCCATTGCTGGCATTGACTGGTTTGCTGGCCCAAGCGGCCCTGACAACCAGGTGCATTTCTTCAGTGGAGAACTC